ATTTAAGAAAAAAAAATTAAAGAAAACTCTACCTTTGTCTTTTTTGCACTTTGGATACTCTAAAATATGTTGTGATGAGGAAGGTATATAAAGTAATAATGTTAAGCTCATCTTTAAGAAAACACCATTGACTTTCTTAAGGTGATGAAAATAGCTTTCATTAAACAACATTTTTGTGTGTCTTCTAGACAGCCTTTTCTCTCACCCTTTTGTTATCCCATTTACTTTACAAAATCATTAGTGGCATTTGGTATATGTACAGAATTTCTATTGCTTTACAGAAAAAATCTTATTGCTCAAAAGACCATTTTCTTTGTAACTTGTGTTGGTTTTATTTTAGAGACTGAAGTTCTCATTTTTTTTTCTAAGACACAGTAATCTCACCTTCATGTCTAAGTAGAATTAGTAGAAATAGAATATTCTGAAGAACTTTGCTTTAATGTGAGATGAAAGACAATGCATGTTATAAGTAGTCACAGTGTTTGTGCCTTTTCACAGAGGAGCAATACAAGGGAAAGTCTCCTACTTGCCAGTCAGGCCTAGCCAAGTCTCCTACTTGCCAGTCAGGCATAGCCAGACTTCTACTCTCTCCTGCTCTCCTCCTATATCCATATGCTTCCTTTTCTTATGCCCTTCCTTCCCTTCCTTAATCTTCCCTTTGATGGTGGTAGTCCCTAGAGTTCCTTTGATCTTCCTTATATAATATATTTTCTACTTTATAATCATACCACTTTTAGAACTATAAAATCTCCACCAAAATCCTCAGGCAAAATTCTCATGGCATGCAGTCATCAGTTATAACATATTACACAGCAGTTGATATGTTGTACATCTCCCCTTGAGATAGGAATCCCATTCAGGACTAAAGATTGAGGCTAGTTTCAAGGAAATGTGAACTATTAACCTTAATAAAAATGACATTAAGCAAACAGGTAATTCTTTATATCATGAAAGAATTTTCTCTTGTACATCCAGTACTATTAGTACTTCTAATTCATTTAAAATTCTGATTTAACATATAAAAAATTTTTATTACATGGAGCATAATACTCTTCGCAAAATTAAAATATTTAACTGCATTAAAATAATTTAAAGTTACAGCTCTAAAATTAAAACACATTGGGGAAAAGCCAAAAGAATTGTGGATATTTGCATTTATCAATATACCGTTCCACATTTTATTTAGAGTAAGATTGGCTCAGTAAATACTACAACTTACACTTAAGTTATATATTTTATATAACATATATAGGCATCCCTCAGAGATATGGCAAGTTCCATTTCAGACCACCACAATAAAGCAAATATTTTGATAAAGTGAGTCATATATGTTTTTCGGTTTCCCAGTGCATATAAAAGTTATGTTTATTCTATACTGTAGTCTATTAAGTCTGTATTAAACTTATGTAGAAAGGAACAATGTGCATACCTTAATTAAAAATACTTTATTGCTAAAATATGCTAAACATCATCTGACTTACAGTGAGTTATATAATCTTTTTGCTAGTGAAGGATCTTGCCTTAACATTGATGGCTGCTGATTGATCATGGGGGTAGTTACTGAAGACTAAGGTGGCAGTGGCAATTTCTTAAAACAAGACGACAGTGAAGTTTCTTGCATCAGTTGACTCTTCCTTTTACAAATGATTTCTCCGTAGTGTGTAGCGCTATTTGATAGCGTTTTACCCACCGTAAAACTTCTTACAAAATTGAAGTCAGTTCTCACAAAACCCTGCTGCCACTTTATCAACTAAGTTTATGGAATATTCTAAATCCTTTTTTGTCATTACAATAATCTTCACGACCTCTTCACCAGGAATAGATTTCATCTCAAAAAATCACTTTCTTTGCTCATCCATGAGAAGCAACCCTTCGGTCTCTGTTGGAGTTTGATCATGAGATTGCAGCAATTTAGTCCCATCTTTAGGCTTTTCGTTCTAGTTCCTTTGCTGTTTCCACCACTTCTGCAGTTACTTCCTCCACTGAACTCATGAACACCTGAAAGTTGTCCATGAGGGTTGAAATCAACTTCATCCAAGCTCCTATTCTTGCTGATATGTTGACTTCTTCCCAGGAATAATGAATGTTCTTAGTGGTGTCTAGAATGGTGAATCCTTTCTGGGATTTCAATTTATTTTGCCCAGATCCATCAGAAGAATCACTAACTATGATAGCATTATGAGATGCATTTCTTAAATAATATGTCTTAGAAGTCAGAATAACTCATCTATTCATGGGCTCCAGAATGGATGTTGTGTTAGCAACATCACAAAAACATTACATTAATCTGGTTGTACATCTCCATCAGAGCACTTGGCTGACCAAGTGCTTTGGCAATGAGCAGTAATATTTTAAAATTAATCTTTTTGTGAGTAGTGGTTCTCATTAGTGGACTTAAAATAGTCACTAGTCATGTTGTAAACATATATGCTATCATTTTCGCTTTGTTGTTCCATTTATAGAGCGTATGCAGAATAGGTTTAACATAATTCTTTAGGGCTCTAGGATTTTTGGATTGATAAATGAACATTAACTTCAACTTAAAGTCACCAGATGCATTAGCCCCTAGCAAGAGTCAGCCTGTACTTTGAAGCTTTGAAGCCAGGCTTTGATTTCTCCCTTCTAGATATGAAAATCCTAGACGTGTTTTTTTTCCAACACAAGGCTATTTCATCTACATTGAAAATCTGTTGTTGAGTGTAGCCACCTTCCTGAATTACCATAGTTGAGTCTTCTAAATAATTTGCTTCATTGCTGCAGCTTCTACATCAGCACTTGTTGCTTCACCTTGCACTTTTATGTTTTGGAAATGGCTTTTTATTTAAACCTCATTAAAAAAAAATGAACCTCATGAAATCAGAGAGGGAGACAAACCAAAAAGACTCTTAATCATAGGAAACAAATTGAAGGCTGCTGGAGGGGTGGGGGTTGGGGGGCTGGGGTAACTGGGTGATGGACTTTAAGGAGGGCATGTGATGTAACGAGCACTGGGTGTTATATAAGATTGATTAATTACTGACCTCTACTTCTGAAATCAATAATACATTATATGTTAATTAATTGCGCTTAAATAAAACAAACGTTTGTGCAAGAGGAAAAAAACCCTCATGACCCAACCTCTGCTAGCTTCCATCTTCTCTGCAGCTTCCTCACCTCTCTCAGCCTCCAGAGAATTGAAGAGTTAGGGCCTTGCTCTGGATTAGGGTTTGGTTTAAGGGAATGTTGTGGCTCCTTTGATTTTTCTTTTTTTTTAAATCCAGACCACTAAGACTTTCTCCATATCAATGATAAGGCTGTTTTTCTTTCTTATCACTTCATCTGTTTGCTGGAGTAGCACTTTTAATTTCCTTCAAGAACTGTTTCTTTGCATTCACATCTTGACTGTTTGGCCCAAGAAGATAAGCCTTTCTTACTAAGTTTAATCATTTCTAGCTTTTGATTTAAAATGAGACATACAACCCTTCCTTTCACTTGAACACAGAAGCCATTGCAGGATTTTTCATTTGTTAAGTTTTTATTTAAATTCCAGTTTACATAGAATGTAAAATTAGTTTCAGGTGTACAATAAATATAAGAATTCAACAATTCCATACAATAGCTGATGCTCATCACAAGTCATTGCAGGGTTTTTAATCAGCCTAATTTCAGTGGTGCCCCAAAACAGTTATTAGTAACACCAAAGATCTACTAATCACAGATTACCATGGCAAATATAATATTAATGAAAAAGTTTGAAATATTGTGAGAATAACTAAATGTGACAAAGAAATACAGATGAACAAATGCTGTTGGAAAAAAAATGGCACAAATAGACTTCCTTGCCTCAGGGTTGCCAAAGATCTTCAATTTGTCTGTAATGCAGTATCTGCAATGCACAATAAAATGACACACAATAAAATGAGATATGCCTGTATTTTATATTAGCTGACAGGTAATTTTAATTCTTCATTGATGTTGTTTTTATTTTGGTATATTTATGCAGCATTATTTCTGTTGTCTTATTTGTTTGACATGCGTAATAAGAGAAACCTGATGAATCCTAAAGAGGAAAAAATACACTAAACTAAAAAAACTTATTGCATTGGAGAAAATTATATTTTATAACAATTAATCTTTTTATCCTTCAGGTAATGAATGAGTTATTCTAAAGACTGTATGCCTAGTACATACTCTTTACTTTTCTTAACCATATTTCTTGGTTGTATCTGGCAGATAATATATTTGCTTTTTAAAAGAATTAACTTTGAACCTGAATGTATATATTACCAAGAAATACTACCACCTCTTTTTCAAAACTGATTTCTGTGTATACCAATATGTTTTATAATATTTGTGTAACAGGATAATACAATATAGTGTCTTTTTTTTTAGAGATCAATTCTATTGTGAGAACTCCATGAAATAAAACTAAAATAAATAACCAACAAAGTTCTAAGTAAAAGTATTAATTAAATATCTATATCTGTATAATCCTAAATAAAAGTGTATTTTCTTCCCAGAGGTTCTTTCAAATACACTTTCATTTTATTAAAACATATGCCCTGAGCACTAATATCCTGTATTTTTAGATAAAGGTACAGAAATATCTTTTAATAAAATTGGTCTCTGTCTACTCCAAAGAACAGGTGACACTTACTCCAAGAGTAGCTGGGATATGCATAGAATTTTAGGTTATAGACACCTGGGAGTAGAGTGGATCATCCTCAGAGTCTCCTGAAAGAAATAGCTATTATTAGAATTGGGCAAATGACTGAAAATAATATACATCTTAGTAGTATCACAGTTAAACAGCTCTAAAAAGCAGCACTGATGATGTGGTGTGAGGGGTTTTGTAAGATTTTAATCTTATTTAATTAATTTTAATTGCACAGAAGTAGTTCTTTGAATACTCACTGCCCATTATTTGTAGATATATTGTGCCTTTTGATTTAAAAAAATCATTTGTTTTAGTTTTGAATGCTTCTTTTCTTTCTTTCTTTCTTTCTTTTTTTTTTTTTCAGATGACACGAGAACAATATATACTGGCAACACAACAGAACAACCTGCCAAGGGCTGAGAATGCACAACTTTACCCGGTGGGGATTTATGGATGGCGAAAGAGGTGCTTATACTTCTTTGTCCTTCTGCTGTTGGTTACCATGATAGTTAACTTAGCCATGACAATATGGATATTGAAAGTGATGAATTTCACTGTGGTAAGTACCACCATGACTTTATATCTATTGCTTTTGGTTCAAAGACGATATAGCACTGTTATTTTTATTTTAAGTGAAAGTTATTTATCTTAATCTTTACAAGTATATGTATTGAAATTCCAAAGACTGTGATATATTAAGACTGCATTCACTATGTGTTCATGACACACATATGATATTACTACCTATCCTTTAAATGTGGGGAATTGAGATCATGGTATAGTACAGGATACTGATTCATTAGCAGTTAGAAACCTTTTAACCTATAAATGTAAACTATTGCTTGCTAAACCTGGTAATCTAGGAAAGGGGTCTATATTTTTAGAGATGATATTTTATGTTAAAATTAATATTAGACATCACAAGTGCTTTCAAATTACTTTACATAGAGTATTTGCCTCTCTCTATATGGTTTCTGTGTAACATACTGCATGATTACATCTAAACCCTGAAATTTTTCATGGACCACATAGGCCAATGTCTGTAATTGTCACCAGGTGGTGATCTCATTCTTTTGGAGCACAGACATGGTAAATATAAGATACACCAAAAATTAAATCACTCTTTCATGAAAAATACTAATTTAATAGCAAAATAATTATATTACTCATTGATAAATTTTGCTTTAATTTATTGAATGTGTACAATAAACATATGAGCCTGGATTATCTGGAAAAATTAGCTGCTTCAGCAAAGTTAGGAGCTCCCTTTGTATTGTCTAGCTAAATTCTTAAATTTACTCTCCTCTGCCTTTGCTTAAAGACCTAAGGTATCTTCACATTCAAGCAGGTATCTTATACTTGCTGACCAGACTGCTCTTATTCTTTAGAACTCTGCATCCTCAGGGGCAAGTGTAAAGCTAGATATTTAACTTCACTCATCTTTGTATATCGGGTTGCTTCTTTTTGTTGTTGTTGTTTTTAAACTCTGCTGTGTATTGATTTAGCAAGGATGGTTTCTTTCCGAGTTCACTAACATGTAATTGTAACTTGAAACAGAATCTCAGAAAGGAAAATGAGCCCAGCATCTGTCCATTGTGTTAGGGCACTGTGGTTGTGTACAGAAGGATCCTGGGAGAGCAGGTGGCCTAACCTTCCTGAGAGGAAAAACTGTAACAGAGCAAAGCATGATAGAAGAACATATGCTCATGGAGAAAATGAGCTGAGCAAGGGTTCCATTTCTCTGATACAGTGCAAATTTTGAAGAGTATTCATCAGAAAAGGAATGAAAGACAAAGAAAAGTTTAGCAGAACTCAGTATTCCAGGATTAAAGAAAATGACTATATCCTAGCAATGGATATGTGTTCAGGGTCACTGATCAAGGCCTAAGAGGCTGTGTGTGGTGGCTAGAGGTGGAGTTGGGTGCTACTAGACAAATTATTGCTTTAAGAGATGCTCTGGTAATATATCTGAACTATTTTGTCTTAAGTGTTGACTCAGTGTCCCCGTCCCCCACTCATTGAGAATATTTTGGCAGAGATTATACTAATTTTACTCCTAGTCTTTTAGTTCTGAGCTCTGCTCCTGTCTTCTCTTGCTAGTGTCTGGGCTTCACTAATGATTCATTTATCACATTTTAGAGGCTGGAAATTCTTTTATATGTTTTTGACTGTCAGCCAAATTAGCAGTTGTTGACAGCAACTTTTTCAACCTCATTTTTCTTAACAAAACAAACAAAAGTCACTTTGAAACAAAGAGTATAATTTTCTCCAAGATTTGAAATTTCAAGTATTTGATTATCAGAGCATCTTTCTAAAGCTCACAAAAGTTGTGATCTACTCTCTCACTTCAGGAGCCTTGATTCTATCCAGTGACCAGGCCATGGAAATTTTCAGATTCAAGCCCTGTAAGTTTCTCAAACATATTTAAATTAATTAAGAAAATAAACTTAAATGCATAATTACATGGCTGCATGCATCAAGCTCCCAATACCTTGCCTCATGCTGAGGTCATGGCTGGATAAGCCAGCCAAGAGAAATAATTGAAACAATCACCTTTGTCCTCAGGATCCATGCAGGCCTCAGGGTTTCTGTCACCTATGGAGCTATCTAATTTGAACCTCAGCTGGCCAAAATGTAAATGTCAACATATTCCTGGGGATAATGAAAAGGAGTTCATTTACATAAGAGTTTTGGTGTTTATTTATTTACTTATTTAATTTGTAAAACCACAATGTTGCTTTTTAATAATCAACAAATAGAAGGTTATTCTTTAGCTACGTAAGCTATTTGTATGTAAGTGAAATAAGTGGAAAGATGAAGTAATTATTGTGTTAAAATACTCTTTGTAAGGTAATATACTCTCCATCTCAGTGCAGTAATTCATAATTGTTCAGAGAAAATTTGAATTAGTTAAATAGTTGCTGAGTTTAGCAGTTCTGAGTACTACACACCAGATTAAGTTATATGAATTTGAAAATTGTGAAATAATTTGTAATCCTCTTACATTAGAACAGTAACAAAATCAATTTTATGTTTTCACCGGTGCATTATAATTGCATCTATCTCTAGAGTGAATACCAGAAACCAGTTGCCATACTATCATTAGAAGTAGTAAATGATGTACAAATTGTTTGGGGAGTATTATTGATTTACCCAAAATGTATTTCTCTTTCATCATTACAGTTTCTATCCAGTCCATGGGAATGTGTGTTTGTTAGCATCTTTTACTTCAGCAAACTTGGCATGTTACTATTATCAAAATACTGTGTTTTTAGCCAGGGTAGCTGCCAACCTGGGTTTATGATGCTTCTTGAAGTCCATCATTATGACTAGTGTTATACATGATCTGTGTGGTTGATATGACCTTATTCTGTTTCTTATTCTGTGGAAAATAAAATCACACAGCTATTGAGATACCCAGGTGCAGAGAATCAAGAAAAAGGAAATTAGTTTATACTATAGGATGAAAGGCTTAGGATAGATATATACCACAATTTCTTGTCTATGAGAGTTGATTAATGTAGGAATGAACTGAAGAAAGAGATTGTGAAGTTTCATTCTCTCAAGATCAGTATAACCCAATTACGTGTTTGCGTTGTTGTTCACGTTGGTGCTGGCTAATTGGCATAATAGCTATATGATTCAATGTAAATGGACTAGTCTAGCAGATCTGTCGAATCTAGGCATTCTGCTAACGTGATATGCTTCTTTGGTTCAAATGCTCATCCTAAGTAAGTTAATTTTACATTTGAACACTGAAAATTAATATAATAAAGTATTCATTTTAATCACAAGAGTACCAAGTAAATGTTGGTAGTATCAACTGCAACTTCATTTGATTAGCTATGCTAACTAGGCAGCAAAAGAAGGATGGAAAAATAAATGCCATTTATTAAGCAAAGCGGGGGATGAACGTCATGAATATTGGAACTGAGAAGCCATGAATACCAAGATATGGGTACTAATTGAAACAATTGATCAATTGAATAAATTGGAAAACAAAATTCTTAGAGACTTGTGTGATTGTTGGGATGAATGTTAGCTGAAAGGAGATCCCATAAGAAGTAGGAATGAATATGGTAGCTTTTTAGGATTAAAAAGGAACTGGGGAATCTTTAGTTCAGCCGTCCACATACTCTTAGGGGTCACTCTATGACATTCTCTCCATTTGGTCACTTAACACCGGCTTAAACCCTCCTTTGGATAAGCAAACCATTGCATTAAATCACCAGATAGTTGTATTGTTGTTTAGTGTCTTGCAATTTTGTTGCATTCTCTCTGTATATAATTCCAATCATGGGATGCTAGGTGCATTCTTTCAAACTGACATGAATTTATCATTTTATTAAGACTAGTTTGTTCTAATACATAATACACACATATATACATACATACACAAAACACATGTATATATACATATTCAAATATACATACAGTATACATACATATACACATACACATATTCACATCAAGGATGTATATTCTGTTTAGATAACTCTTCTATATCTTTATTATTCTTATGCATCAACTTTGGCTTCCTTAGCAGCCATTCACCTTTCTTCATTTCAAATATTATCTATATTACATTATTATCATTATATGTTTGCAAGACTGTCAGCTTTTTAAAGATCTCTTTCTGTTTATTGCTGTTGGCCAGAACATCATTGATATATTTTATCATATTTTCTTTTCTTTTGGTGTACGTTTCTAAAGTTAAGAGAGAGCATATGTATCACTATATTCATTTTCTGCTTTCTAATGTTTTTTAATGTTGTAAACTTTATAAGATAATTTTGGGGAAATATGAAATAATATACATTTGCTAAGTTTTCAATCTTGTGCTCTAATACCTTGGTAAATGAAGTATCACATATTCCCATCTCACTTGTGTGACTATTCTTTTTCTTTATCTTCATCATTAACCCAGTGCATATTATCTATAGCCATTATTGATTTACCTAAGATGGATAAAGTACATTTGTGGTATGCTGTTATGTGTCAGTGTGTCCATCATCAAACTTTTTACTCCACAGTCATTTTCATTTCACTCTTTAATGGGACCATCAGATTGGAATAAACTTTTTCCATCTCTACGTATATAGCCAATTTTTATATTTATCAAAGCTGTGCCCCTATACCAAATGCATTTTATTTGTTTTTCAAATCTATGGTCATATGCTGGTTATGTGGGAAGCTTAAAGGAAATAACCTTTCTTAGCATGTTCATCACAGATTATTTCACTTTATATGACTTTGTTTATTGTCTGGTTTTCTTCCCCACAGATAGAATAGGGCTCAGCGTTTTTGAACCTTATTCCATTGCTGTATCCCCAAGCCAGCGGACAGTGCCTGACAGATAATTAGCTCTTAAAATGTATTTGTGGAAAAAAAATCCAACTTTAACATGTCTGTATTGAAAACTAGGTAAACTCTTCATTCACTGTGATTTGTGCCCTTCCAAAGACCTGCCTTGAGCTTGAAGAATTGATAAAAAGACTACCAGTTATCCTGTCTCTCTGTTGGTGTTTAAGGTCTCATAAGCACATGATAGGGTTCCAT